AAGCGAACATGAAGGCAAACAAGTGGATCCTCGACAGCGGATGCTCACATCATATTCCAGGAAATAGAGATTTGTTCATCAACTCCAAAGAAGGTAAAGTTTTCTTTGGCGACAATAATTCTGCAGAAATTCTGGGTGTAGGAATGGTTGGGTATGGTCCTAGTATTTCAAATGTAATGTTAGTTGATAATCTAAAGCATAATCTCATCTCAGTAAATCAAATTTGCAGCCTAGGTAACAGGGTAGTCTTTGAAACTGATATATGTTGTATAGAAAATAAATTGTTTAGGGAGATTATGCTCGACAAAAAAAGGGAAGGGAATGTCTAAGTGTTTGATCTTGATAGTAAGTGTTTGTCTAAAGAACTCTGCTTAATGTCCTTCCACAAAAGTGATCAATTTGAGTGGCACAAGAGCCTAGGCCATGTTAATATAGGAGTTCTTTCCAAATTAGTTAACTTAGATCTTGTTAGAGGGCTCCTTAAGATTAAAAAAATGAATTCTTTTGTGATGCGTTTGCCAAAGGGAAGCACACTAAGTCAGGTTTTAAAAGCAAACTTGTGATTTCCACTACTAAACCTCTTGATCTGCTTCACCTAGACTTGTTCGATCCAACTAATGTGGTAAGCTACAGAGGTAAGAGCTATGTGTTTGTTATAGTTAATGATATTCTCGATTCACTTGGGTTCTTTTCTTGGCTAGCAAGGACGAAACATTTGAACACTTTTGAATGCTTACCAAGAAACTAGATACCGAGAAACAATGTAGGATAATTGGGATCAGATGCGATCACGGTGGTGAGTTCATCTGTGATAGATTTTATTCTTTCTGCATAGACCAGGGGATACATCATAACGTCTCTGCCCCTAGGACTCCTTAACAAAACGGAGTAGTAGAACGGAAAAACAAGACTCTAATTGAAATAGTCTGAATCATGTTAAATAATAATCTTCCCAAATACTTATGGGCTGAAGCTGTGAACACTGCTTGCTACAACATAAATAGAGCCCTAATTTGGTCTAGGATACTTCCATCCATTTGGATGTAGATGGTTCGCGTTAAACACTAAATGCAGTCTTCGTAAGTTTGATGTCAAGTCCCATGAGGCAATGTTTCTTGGCTACTCTAATGTGACTAGTGCCTATAGCGTTTTTAACAAAAGGACCCTCAAAGTTGAGTAATCCACAAATGTTATATTTGATGAATCTATTTGTGAGATTTCATAAGAAACAGATGATGGCGATTTTGGACTTGGAAAAAGCAACATCTTTACTTAAACTAGAGTTGTTGCCGGTAATGATAATGAAGCATAAATTTCAACAGACAAAAATGAGGACAAGGCAGAAACAGAAGAACTCCATCCACCACTTCACATAACCAAAAGACATCCTCCCTCATTGGTAATGGGTAAGCTATACGAAGGTATGACCACTCGATCAAAGGCTTCATCTAGTCACACTGCTTTTGTCTCATTGATTGAACCTAAATCCATAACACAGGCTTTGTTAGATGATTTATGGTTAGATTCCACGCACGAGGAAATGAGCATGTCTGAAGAAGCAAAGGTTTGGGAACTTATTCCTAAACCAGCTTATGGAAATGTCATAGAAACCAAATGGATTTATAAAAACAAATCAAATGACACAGGATAGATTTTCTTAAACAAATCCCGCATTGTAGCTCAAGCTTCCTGCCAAGAGGAAGGCATAGATTTCAAGGAGTCTTTTGCCCCCGTAGCTAGATTAGAGGCTATCAGAAAGTTGTGTTCCTTTGCTAGTTTAAATAGTTTTAAACCTTTTCAAATGGACGTGAAAAGCGCATTTCTAAACGGTGACTTAAAAGAGGACATCTATGTGTCTCAACCTCAAGTTTTTGAAGGCTTCAAATTTCTAAATCATATTTACAAATTAAATAAGGATCTTTATGGTATGAAACAAGCTCCTAGAGCTTAGTACGATAAACTGAGCAATGTATTAATTAGTAATGGTTTACACAAAGTTTCAAAGGAATTTTTATTAGTCAAAGCAAGTATCTTAGTAACATGCTAAAGTGATTTGATATAGGCAATTTGAAACCGGCTTCTACTCTCATGGCTACCAATGTGAAATTAGATAAGGATGAATCTAGAATTAGTATAAGTAAAAAGCTTTATAGAGGCGTGATTGGCTCTTTGCTATACATGACAGCCAGTCGATCAAACATTATATTTGTCGTGTTTATGTGTGCCCGCTCGGTTTAATTCCTATTCTAGATAGAGATATGTCACTAGAATGAGTATAGTATACTCTAAGACTACACCAACCTGACCCATATGTGTATATTAGCTTAGTGGAAGAAAAGAAATTAGGGGGAAAATAGTGAAATGATAAAATGATGTGAAAAGTTGTGTACTAAATCCTCCCTGGCAAAAAAAAAAATTCCCCACTAAGATGCAACTCTATGTATTTCTATTCATACTTTTCACCTGCTTCTCTTGAATAATGTTGTCCATATGTATGCATTTTAAGTTTCATCCTTGATCGTATTACAAAATACTCTTTTCTTAGTCTCGTTTTACACATCACTACAAAACAAACTACCAAAATATACAATGTCAATGCAATGTTTAACAAATAGGCCATAAAAAAAATTTGGTGGTCTAATATGTTTAGTATGTTTAACAAATATGCAAACGCAATGTTTAACAAATACACATGTTCCAGCCACATCCAGCTGTCTAGAAACAATTTGGTGGTCTAATATCGATAGTATCCCACTGTATATGTATCCATTGGAATTGTTGCAATTAGTCTTTCACTAGAGGAGGTTGGAACCCTGTCCTATGGTTGAGTTTTGCTTCACTACTTGTCTCAACTTTGGACACAAAAGGCAACTATTTTGATTTTCAGCCATGAACCAGACAGCTGGTGAGACAGGTACAAGCCTACAAGGTAGAGGTTGAGGTGTCACCAGTGGTCATTAGTATAGGAAATGCGAGATGGGGACACCAAGAAAAGTGAGCATATAGCCCCCAATATAGGATGCCAAGATTATGCTTACTATCGCATAATTCATGTCCTTGTTTGCAACCATTATTCCCTTATTACGCAATTGGTGCATATCCATTTGATAGTGCTCTAGTGTCACCAACAGTTCCTCTGAAATTCGATTCTCTAATAGCAATTATCAAACGAGTTACCTTTTGGTCATTATTAATTACGCAAATCATTGAAGTACAAACGTAATTTTTTTTATCTTAGGGTTGTACTGTATACATCATTGAAAAGATGTTTTGTGCCCAGATTGTACTTTAATCATTTCCTACTAATAAAATTTTATACATATTTGGACTCCAATATTGTCGATTTTAGACAAAACTTATATTATGATTGATTCATCCGATATTTTGTTTAATTAGGACATTCGTTTCATTCGTGCCTTCACATGATTTTTGGCCTAATAGCCTACCATCAACATGAGGTTTTTATAGACTTGCATGTTATTAGTGTGAATAAGAGATTAAGATCTATAACTAAAAAAATTCTCGAATAACTTGAATTATTAAAATCAAATAATTTATCATAACGATTAATACTATAGAATTTTTGGCAAAAAATAAGTAATACAATAGAATTGGGCACTTTTAAAACCTTAGACTTCATATATGGATGAATACAACCAATTGTAAGCATTCTACACCCTACCTATATCTACTACAAATATATAATAGTAGAGTTGGAAGCAGTTTTTCAACATTTCAAATTTCATCTAACGAGAGCAAAAGTAGGAAGGGTAGATTTGTCTTTATAATTATTTGGGTTATTCGTAGAAAAAAATATACATCAGACTTGAGATTTGAACTATGGTCTCTTTAAACAAGGACATGAATCATTATCAATTACAAATAAACAAATTTATTGTATCTTTTTAAACTAAAAACATGCAGAAACCTAACTCTTAAAAACATATGAATGTTCCACTATGATTAACTAGCCCACTAACTCTTCCGTAAGTATTTCTTTGGTGTTTGATATTTTTATTTTTCGTATTTTTATTAGCTAATTCAATTTTAACAATTAATTTAACTACTAAGTAGAAATACATATTTCAAATATTTTAGAAATTTTAGGATGTACATCATAAATATTAGTAATATAATAAAGCCTTTCCAAGTAAATATTTCACGGAACACATGACACACAAGGCTTAGATGATTATAGTATAAAGTTTCTAACAAATAAGACAAACAGTATTTGATGATATTAATTGTAAAACTAATAAGATAAAATTCTTTGATTATAATAATTATTATAAACAAAAAAGTGAATAACATGTCCTCAACTCCTTATATGTGCTTAATCTGTTACTTATAAGTATATAATCTTTTCACTTGGTTGATAAAATAATCAGAATTTAGAGGAAATTTTATGATTTAAACATAAATTTTATGATTATAAATAAATTACATCAATCTAAATCATTAACTCGGCCAAAAATAGTTTAATTATAATTATGAATGATTAATATTGTAAAAATAACCCGACCAATAGCAAGAAACATAGCTAGTTTAAATAAAGGGCTAATACCACTACAACACCCGAACTATCGCGAAAATGCCACTTGTGTCCTATTGTTTCCAATATTCCATCTGTGTCCTGAACTATGATACTTTGTGTCATTTGTATCCTGTCAATTTCGTTGACCGTTAAAGATAACGGTTGACTAAACGGTGGTCAACGCGAAGTTGACTTTTGTTGACGTGGCAAAAAAAGAGGCTGCCACATAGGTGCCACGTCATTGACCTAATATTTTTTTAATTCAAATTAAATAAAAAAAGGAGTTAAAATTAAAAAAAATGTAAATTCAATTATGTTATTAAACCAAAATTTTAAAACAAAATAATAAAAAACTCTTCTTCTTCTCTACCGATTCACACTCTCCCTCTCTGAAAAATCTCCCAATCCGGCTCTGAGAATCTCTCTAAAAGATAACCCAACTCGCCAATCTTTCATCGTGCCGCTACTATGGCCGGAACCCAGAGAATGAGGTTAATTGAAAATCAAAATCCCAAATCGGGTAATCGTCAGAATCCAAATCGATTCTTTTGAATCCCATCATCGAAGAAGAAGCTCGAGGATATCGGCGGCAGGGAAGCCGGTCCCGGAGACAGTATCCCTGGCGGCAACAAGCCCTGTTGAGATCCCCCCATCAGTTGACCCATTTCTACCCCTTCCATAAAGAAATCCCCCAAATCCCCATTCCCACCCTGCGGATAAATCGATGAATTCCCCTTATCCTTGGGGGACTTCGCTTTCTCAATCGTCGCGTACCTGGCTGCTGGCGACATCGCGCCGGGATCGTCGGTGAAAGGATTGGAGGAGGAGGAGGAGGCCGCGGCGGAGGAAGAGCCGGTGAGGCGTTGAACTAGGTTCATGAAATCGCCGGGATTGGTGAGGCGTGTAGATTATGATGGGGGCGCGTGGCTGCGACTGCGGGTGGGATTGATGCTGCTGGATCGTGTGTGGGTGTGGATTGGGGTTGGGAGCGACGGGAGGCTTCTTGATTTTGTGGGAATCTTTGCGGACTTTGAGCGCCGGCGGGCGGTTAGATTTCAGACGACGGGATCTCTTCAGATCTGGAGGTTGTTGCGGTGGTAGAGGAGAGTTAGGAGGGCCGACGGCGATGAACACTGAGTGGGGATGAAGCTTTGCGGCGATGAGATCTGGGTGTTGATGGCGACTTCCCGGAGAGGGCTCCCGGCAGAGGGTTCCACCAGACGGCGGGAGGAGACGCGGAGAAGGGATGGGGAGGGTTTTCTATTTTTCTATTTTTTTATTTTTTATTAAATGAAAATTGATAATGAAAATTCCAGGTCAAATGCCATGTCAACGATGACTGGATTTTCTGTTAAATACTAACGGTCAACGCCAGTCAACACTAACGGAATAATAGTTCAGGACACAGATGGAATATTGGAAACAATAGGACACAAGTGGCATTTTCCGGATAGTTCGGGTGTTCTAGTGGTATTAGCCCTTAAATAGAGAAAAAATGCAGATTATCATTCCAAAATAAAATACAGTGCATTCCTCAGGTGGTGGCGATATTGATCTTTGTAATACAAATTGATAAAGACATGATTGGTAAGTGCTACAAGATCATCTCGTACATTGGAACGCATAATCATGGACTCAAATCTCTTAGCATGAAGGTGTTTTCTTTTGGATGGGTCCTAAAGCAAACCATTTCGGAATCGGAATGCAATGGGCTGATGATCACATCCACTTATCCAGCCCATGAGAAATATTAAAGATAAATATAACGGGCCTTATTCGTATAAACTCCAACGGGTCAGCTGTGCGAGGCCTAATTTATTGGGGGAAATTTGGGCTCATTCGTTCTGAAACCCACACAAACCTGATCAGGAAGCCACGTGTTAGAACGGTATTCGATAAACAGCGTAGCATCTCTGGTCAAAACTACATCGGCAGCAGAGGATCTCCATTTTCCCCCGTCGAACCAAACTTCCCACGCATCACCGCCAGTTGCGTATTCGGACCAGTTCTTCTCAGCCCACGCGCTTCTAGCAATCGCCAATCGGCCACGTACCGTTGTCCGGTCTCCACTGAGGAGGGAGATCGTTCAGAAATCCGGCCAACGCTTCGGTGAAGGACATGGGTGATCAAATAGCAAAGGGAGAAGAATTCGAGAGGAAGGCTGAGAAGAAGATCAGCGGCTGGAGCGTATTTGGGTCCAAGCACGAAGATGCCGCTGAGTTGTACGCTAAATCTGCCAACCATTTCAAACTCGCCAAATCATGTATGTCGCCGGCCACCCGCTACCCCTCCTCCTTCCACCTCTCTGTCAGTTTCTTTATTTTGTTGCTAAATCTCGTGCTGGTTATTATCTGCAGGGGATAGAGCGGGTTCTGTTTTTGTTAAGCTCTCTAATTGCCATCTCAAGGTAGAATAACTGAACCCATCGGAATCGATGGCTTTCTCTTAGATCTTTAGTTTAGGGTTAATCAACCCCGCACCGCAGTGGGTTCTGTGACTTCTAACTGTGTTTACACTTCACAGTCGGATAGCGATCATGAAGCTGCCAGTGCTCTCGTGGATGCTGCAATTTGCTACAAGAAAACATCAACCGAAGGTTAGATTATAATGAACAAGTTTCCCCATCTCTAGCTTAAAGTTTCAATTTATAATGCCGTTTATTTGCGATCCCAACTGTGAAATTCTTGGGGTTTTGATTCAATTGGGCAGCCGCCATATCATGTTTGGAGCAAGCAGTGGGCATTTACCTGAACATGGGCAGGTATAACATGGCTGCCAAGAATTGCAAGGTAATTCTTATGCTTGGCCCGAATTCTCCCGCTTGCATTTTGCTTTCAAGATAAACGTTAATGGAGTTTGGTTGACTTTGTGGTTTAGGAAATTGGGGAGTTATACGAGCAGGAGGAGAAGATTGAGAAGGCTATATCGTATCTTGAACGAGCAGCCGAGTATTATGAACATCAAGAAGCAAGCTCCTCTGCAAACCAGTGCAAGCAGAAGGTTGCACAATTTTCTGCTCAACTTGAACAGTAAGTGGAATTTGTGAAACTTGGTTGTTTAGCTATAATGATCTGCTGAAGAGAATCCAAGTAACTCTCAACTTGACCATGGCTTGTTTTTCCCTTGTACTGGCATTTCCATTTTTGCATTTGTTTGTTAGTAAGAGTTTCACACTTCATCTTAGTCACAAGAATATAGCGTAAATGTCACCTGCTCTTGTCTTGTTCTGCTTTGGTATAGGTATCAGAAAGCAATTCAGGTGTACGAAGAGATTGCGAGATACTCCATCAACAGCAACTTACTGAAATATGGCGTAAGAGGGCATCTTCTTAATGCTGGTCTTTGCCAGCTTTGTCGAGGGGATGTTGTTGCCATAACCAATGCATTAGAGCGATATGAGGTTTAACACCTTCTAGAATCGTTGTGTGTACTCATGTTAAGGGCTGTTTTATGCTCACTATGTATGCCCCCTAAACTTGTGTTCTTTCCTCAAATAGAAAGGTCAAACAATTTCAATTTCTATGCAGGATCTAGACCCAACTTTCTCCAGAACTCGGGAGTTTAGATTTTTATCAGTAAGTTACCTTGACTATCCTGTTAAGAACTGTGTTTAGATTATCTGCATCTTGCTCACAACCCTGAGAAGAACTTCTGCCACTAAATAATTTCAGGATTTAGCCACTGCAATGGATGAGGAGGATGTAGACAAGTTTACAAGCATTGTGAAGGAGTTTGATAGCATTAGCAAGCTGGTACATCTCCTTGTCAGAAAAATAACAGCTAATTCATTTTCATGGTCTTTGTTTCACTGTGTGTCCCTAGTTTTAGCAAGAATAAACTGATTTGCGTACTTTTGGGAGATAATCATCAACTCCCTTAGGACGACTTTGTTTCAAGTTTGTGACAACTGATATTAGAATCCTGCATTTTGTAGGATTCTTGGAAAGTGACCCTGCTATTGAAAGTAAAGCAAACTCTGAAGGACAAGGAGCTGGAGGAGGATGATTTGACATAAATTCCTCGGTTCAACATCATATTGGTTTGGCAGATGCTGTACATGTAATAGCACATCAGGGAGAGCTAGAACAATAATGCATTGCCGCCTCAGGAGTTATGTATTATCAGCAACAATAAATAAGGTTCTATCCAGTTCTTCATAGTGTCTTCGTGTAGAAATATGCGGTTGCAGGTTGGTAGGTGAGGGGATATTCAGAGTTCACGACCACGAGCTTCCGGACTCCGGTGGTGAATCAGTTTGAGATTTAAAAGTTTTTTTTTTTTTTTTTTTTTTTGACAGTGATGTGATTTTGTTCAAAATTCAATTGGTTGATGGACTTGGAATTATCTATACGGCAGCATGGATGATAGAATCCACCATGGAATACTTTTTTACAAATGTTTGGAAGTTGTGTTACTTTACTCAAAATTTTTTCATAAACAATGCAGGATTGTTTCTATGATACGACATAAATTATCATTCGAAATGTGTGACTGTCATATCTCAATTTTTAGCTGAGATTGTTGAGTTGATAATAGGGGTGTGCATCGATTCGGTTCAAATTAAATTAAATTACTTTGATTCGGAATTTCAGACAATCGAATATGTGAGGTTAGCTTGTATCTTCTCCTTTTTAAATTATTTGTCACCCCTTATGCAAACAATAAATATACAATTCTATGCATCACATGATAAAATCAAATAAACAATAAATATACAATTCTATGCCTCACATGATAAAATCAAATATTTGGACACATAAATCATAAAACACTAAAATTATTCAAATCTTCAAATCTCAAGACAAGTACAAACATCAAAATCCACCATTTGGAGTGCAACTATTGTTGTTCGGTTCGGAATTCAGAAATTTTGTTAAGTCGAAAGGACCTGGTTTTTTTAATATGCCCTTTTCCTTCTAAATTCGGAAATGAATAACATTAAATTGATTTTGGTTCGATTCGGATCGGTTTTATCGAACCAAATGCCACCACTAGTTGAGATTTTTTTATTTCAGCTTTTAACTAATGTGACATACACAATCACACATACCAAACGACAATGCATCAAATTCATCAATACATGCATAATATTATGCATGTCTTCATCCCAATAGATTTATTTAATAATTGCAACTTCCAAATGACCCTGAGAATCACCCAAATGTCGTCGAAGTGTCGTTGCCTTTGGTCGGTTACATTCACTATCCATCGAAATGTTCTTCCTTTTCTTTTTTTTGGATTAAGCATTGTATATGCATTTTAGCTAACATTTATAAAAACAACTACATGGATCAAATGAAATGGAATTACTAAAAGGGGTCGCCTAAATCAGGGATTTCGACACAATCCCTCATTTTGTCATATTTCAGCGCAATCCCTCATTTTGTCGAATTTCGACTAAATCCTTTGTTTGGGTGGTAGATATACAATGAGGGAATACAACGATGTGTAATTTCAAAAATCAGGTATGGCTGGATTTCGAAATAGTTTCCTCCCCTAGTGATGGTAATGTATCCATAATAGATCGAGTAGTGCAATACTAACAAGCCCGACCCCTCTACTTTTGGGCTTCACAATCATCATTTTTATTCAAATCGGAATGATAGAGTGGTTTCAACAAAAACCCCAAAATCTGGAAATTACGGTTCTTATTCCTACTCGTGATATTTGGTTGATCTAATTGGTAAAGAGTTCGAATTTGCTTTAATTCCCTCCAAAGTCTGGTAGATTAGTTTAGTGTGTTGTTGCTCCTAATACATGGTCGACCTATATTTGCAAGGTTGACCTCCTGTGATTGCTATCGAAACTTTGTCAATTGATGCAATGTGTGTTGTTACTCGAAATCAAGGTCGACCGCAACTTCATTCTTTCCCAAATTTTTGCGATTGGGTTTGTTTCCAATTGTGATTATTCGGTCGACCTCTTTCTTCTCAGCGGTCATCTACGCAAAAGCAGCCTTATTTAACACAGAAATCAAGCATATGCCTGTTCTAGGTTGCCTAAATTTTATAAATTTTTGGATCTAAAGATATTTCGAGGAAAGAAGAAAAAAAGTATGAAAAAGCGGGGAGCTCCTGTAGTGAATGGAGTGGTTTCAATGCCACTTTGTTCTAAGACAAAACATAAAGCGACAAGTTTGTACAGAACCAAATGCACAACCGTCAGGTGCTTCCTAGACGACCATCAACGAAAGAGGCTTATCCTCATTTTGACGCTCATGGGTAGTGCTGCAAATGAGTTAAGTTGCTCACGAGCGGCTTAGTATGGGTTCGGGAGAAACTTGTTTGCTACTCGACTCGCTGTCTTGTTGAGCTCAACTTGTGAGCTAGGTCGATAGTATGTCTAGCGAGCCACATCAACTTGAAACTTTCGAGGGAATAGATTAATAGCTTATCATTGGTTTATCAATAATTCACAGGTTTCTTGGATTATATATCTCACCGCGTATTATGTTAAAGAATTTGAGCACATGCTCAAATATGTCGCATTTATAATTTAAAAGAGAAATTATGTGTCATTAATTACTCATATACAAATTACTATAAAATAAAACTCTTGAACTCGTCAATGAGCCAAGATCGAGTCAAACACATGTCGAGCCGAGCTCAAGTTAGGCCAAAATTCGACTCGGCTCATTTGTGAAGCAAGACTGGACCAAGGTCTTATCCCTTGGTGTGCCATACTTTCCAAAAACGGTATTGTGTTTCTACAACAATATAACCTATCATGATGCCAAAATGGATCTTTTACAACTTTGTCATCATATGTGAACGGGGCGAAGGTGCATATCACTATGAAGTTGTTGGCACTAGTATTAGAGATTGCAAACAGCAAAAAAGAATTCAGTGTTCTAATTCTTGGAATGAAAGTCGCTACTCGACGGCTAGGCAAACATAGGTGGTTTGTGGTCATTCGTAGTAGGACAATTGCTCATGCAGGACGGCTATGGTCAAGGTTCTTCATCATATGCTCTTATACATCCTTCTTCCAAAGGGTGGACATCGAGATGCAGTCACGTACTTTGACATGGAGCTCCTCACTCACCTAAGATCTCGTGAACATGTGAACTTGTCAACTATAATCTTCAATTATATGGTTGTTGCTGATGCAGAGAGTGAAAACAAGATTTTTTTGTATGAGATGATCTTGATTTTGATTTGAGGATTTTGGCATGAATTTAAGTGGTGAGGTTGGTTTAAGAGTTAAAAAACAGGAGTACTATACAGTTTCATCGCTAAAGAATATTGGATTTGAGTTGCGTGATGGTGTGTATGTCCGACCGGACAATCCTAATGAAGACGATGATGAGACATATGACGAGCCGATGGACGAGCCAATGACACATGAAGATGATTCAACTCCAAGAGTCACCCTCAATGCTATATGAGATCGCATGACTGGTTATATGCGACAATATCCAACTAGATGACTTCAGGTGAGTGTAACTGAGATGCATGATGAATTTTGATATTTCATTGGAAGATACATGTATCCCTACACATTCGAGTACCATAATTTTAGCAACACCAATCAAGATGAATGATATGAGAGCGATCAATGAACTCAATTAATTAAATTATGTTTATTTATTTATTTTGGTGTGGCATATTAAGCTTGTAAAACAGTTTGGTTTAAAGCAACTATTATTTTGGATTGAGATAAGCTGTTGTGCTTTTGGATTTCATATATGTGTGAACAATTGTGAGGTGTGTTTATTGCATTTTGGTGTTAATGATTAAGCTTTTAAAAAGATATGGTTTCTTGATACTATGTTTGTCGATTGAATTTCATAGTTTCTATGGTAGTTTTGTTAGATTTCAAAAGGCACATGACATGCTATGAGGTCGACCAGACTATTACATGGTCGACTGTTATAAGCAGCAACTCAACTTATACAAGGTCAACCGTGAAACCAATCATTTTAATCTACCAAGAGGATGGTTTGTTAAGTTTGAGTTTCAAACTTTCTTACTTGTGGTTGACCTCTTCTTATTAATGGTCGACCTCTTATCTATAAGGTCGATCACGTTTCTGAAAAGGTTCAACCTTTCTGCTTATGAGTCATTACTCACGATCGTCGTTTCATGTTTAAGGTCGACCACAATCATTAACCAAAATAGCCACAGTTGATGGATTAGTCATTCCCAACTACGAGGTCGTTTGCTTGTAGGAGTTTAAAAAATGAAGGATTTGGGTAAAACTGGATTATATGTTTGTAGAATTATTTGGGATTTTGTAATATTGGATTTGTGTTGGATTTTAAAAAGTACTAGTTTGCTTGTTGGATTTCATATTGAATTTTGTGTCCTTGGGATTTATTAGTTAAATGTTGAATTTAAATGGGCAATTTTGGTTTGTATTAAATGACCCCTTCTCCATTTGTACCATTTGTGTTGACCCCCATCTCTAAGAGAAAACACGACCCTTCAATATGCTTGTATTCAATTCAATGATTTTTTCTTCGAAGTTTGTGTCTTAGAGATAGAGGAGTATTGTGTCTCGTGGAGGAAGGAACATCATAAATGCTAACTTGAAGGCAAATGTCGAAGAAGAAGGTGAAATGAGTAAGATGGTTGCTTCACAATAAAAACTAACCAGACTTAACAATAGATAATGAGGGCAACATAGAAATATTAAAAGGAGATGATGTTAGTTTTGTCATTTTACTCTCATGGATTTCTAGCCTAATACATTTACGGGTCATTTACTTTATGGATTTGAAAATGAAGATTTTGGTAAAACTTGGGTTTTGTAAAACCATGGTTATATGAGGGTTTTGGGTTCATCATGGACTTGAAAAATACCATTGTTTGTTTCACAGATTTCATTATGGAATTGATTAATTAGATTTGTATGTATGAAGTGAAATTTACCTTTATTGCCCTCATTGGTATGAGAAGAGAAATGAAATAAGAGGGGTAATTCGATGTTAAATGATGGACTTAAAAGTCCATGATCAATTCCCACCTAAATAGGTGGAACTTTCAAATCTGTGGGTCCATGTATTTGGACCCTTAAAGTTCGTGGAACCCACAGATTTGTTGCCACTAAATACATGAAGCAAACAATGAATTTTGGACAAAGTCCATCATGGATCCAAATCCATCATGCAAACAACGGAACAACGGATTTGTTTGCATGATGGATTTGGATCCATGATGAACTTTGTCCAAAATTCATTGTTTGCTTCAAGTATTTAGAAGTAACAAATCCGTGGGATCCATGGACTTTTTCGTGGGCCCCACGAACTTGAAAATCTCACCTCTTTAGGTGAGAATTGATCATGAACTTTGAAATCCATAATTTTTAACAACCTACCCCTCATATTTTTATTCTCTTCTTATATCATTGAAGGCAATAAAGGTAAATTACACTTTATACATACAAATTTAATTAACAAAATCCATCAAACAAACAATGGTGTTTATCAAATCCATAATTAACCCAAAACCCTCTTATATCCCATGGTTTTTCAAAACCCAAATTATACCAAAATCTTCATTTTTCAAATTCATGACGCAAACGACCCATTGGGATTTTAAAATCCATTGGACCTTACAAATTTTGATCCCAATATAATCCAACATGCATGGGTTCCACATCTCATAATCCAACACCACTTTAGTACCAAACATGAACTTTAAATATAAAATCTTAATCAAAAGCCCAAGAATAAACTACCACTACATATTCATCGATTATTTTATTCAAATGACTATGGTTTGAAAGTCACCATAAACAAGAACATAGTAACCTCCGAGCGTGCAAAACCGGATATCATGTTCATGTAAGAATGACAGTGAAACCCGGACCCGTGGGTACCCGGTCCGACCCAACCCGATCAAAACGAGTAAAACCCATGTTGACCGGATTCGGGTCGGGTTCGGATTTAAACCCAGTGTTCTCTTAAGAGGGTTGGGGCGGGTTCGAGTTTGAGAGTACCCGCCCCGTGAATACCTGACCAAACTCATTAACCCTAAATAGTAAATACCTAACATTTTCCAAATCCCCCGTTTCCCCGAAACAGAACCCTCGCCGCCCCTCTCATTCCATCCCTCTCTGAATCGTAAATTGGCCGACGGCCGCCATCACCCTGCTCGTCTCTGCCGCTATTCCCAACGACACTCGGAGTCTCGGTGACTTGTTCGTCGACCCGCCGCCCTCCCAGTCCCAGACCCGACTCCCGTCGCGTCTTACCCTTCCCCTGGTCCTTCTTTGCTCCGCCTGCACCTCCCGTTGACTCTCACCCGCCTCTGCCTCTCGTCGACTCCCGCCATTCCAGAATTCCCCTGCTCCTCCTCTGCTCGGCCGGCAAGGGAACAAACTCAGAGGGTATGGCCGTATGAGACTATTCCCCTGCTCGACCGCCATTCCCCAGCTTCTCATCTTCGCCGTTACCACTCCTCCTCCACTTCGGGTTTCGACTGCGGTTGCCACTGCCGAGAAGCCTTCCAAGGTCCGGAGATTGTGTTGCCGCCCCATCAAGGACGTCTCCTTCTTGCTGCGCTCTCTGAGAGTATGGAAGATTCTTCTAGGCTTTTGTTTAGTTTTGATTTGTTGAGTACTTTCTTTCTCTGTTTGACTGCTTGCCGACCGGTTTCTTTCTTGTGCAACCCACAGTTGCCAGTGTGCCCTGGGATGCAATTCATCCCACGGAGAAGACATATCAACATATGTTTTTTGTGTCCAATCCATCGGTTCTAGCTTATTTAATTTTCTTGATCTAGCTGATTCTCTAAATTTGGGTGAGATTTTGAGAGGATGTATGGATCTGATAGAAAATAATTCTGCTCTCTAGTTGGTGGACAGATCCAAGTATTCTTTTGGTCTGGTTATCGTTAACAATCATGTACTGTACTACGGTGCAATAAGACAACTCAGACGTCCAATAAGAAATCGGCAACCTTTTGGTGGGTATAAACAAGTAGTTTCTCTGCCGGCCGACGCCAACAAAAAAAATGATTGTTAACGATAACCAGACAAAAGATGCTCAGTCACCTTTCCACACTATTTTCGACTCGTTGCTCGCTTTCTTCCTTCCTAAATCGTCACTCACACCAGTCGAACTCTTCTATATCAGAAATCCATCAGCTTCAACCTTCTTCCTATCATCTTCTTTCCCGCAAATCTCCTCTGATTTTTCCTATCCATGGCGTCGTTTTCTCTTGCCTTCAAGCTCCCCTTACTTCGCTCCGACCATCCGGACGGCTTCCTCGGAAGTCGGCCGTTTTCTGCTGCTGCGAAGGCAGTTTATAGTGGTCCTTCTTCCAAGTTCTTCAATTTGAACTGCGAGTTCAACTTTGATTCTTTCACATCTTACCGCAACGCGGGATTCCCCGGGAGCAATGTTCCATGCGCCACCGCGGAGATAGTGGAGGATAGCGTGACAGAAAAGGGGGAAGAGAGTGGGGGGAGGGTTCTCAGAGTTGGACTGGTATGCGGCGGTCCATCTGCAGAGCGTGGGATTTCTCTCAACTCTGTTAGATCAGTTCTAGATCACATACAGGTAATTTTTTGAATATGCCTACCATGTGTTTGAAACTTTGTGTCAATCACTTGCTGGCAAAGAAAGTCTGTTATGTTACTATGAACTGTTTTCCTTACCCACCATCTGCTCAATAGGGAGATGATCTGCAAGTGAATTGCTACTACATTGACTGTGATCTCAATGCGTTTGCTATAGCCCCTGCCCAGGTTTGTTTCTTCTTCTGCTGTCTTCTTATAGAAGCTACATTTCTAGATTCATATGATCCCCTATGAATCGTGTCAACGATAATAGATTGACATTCAATTTGCTACTTTCACGATTGCACGGCCGTACTTATCACGATGAATACAACTTTTGAATCTAATTTTGTCCTTACTCTCCAGGTATACTCAAACACACCAGCCGATTTCGACTTTAAGCTTGAAAGGTGAGAACTTTACTGTTGCTCATGATATCTTCTTTCAGTCAGTTCTTGGATAGCTGCAGGAAACTTAAAGCTGCTTAAATTCTCCTGCTTTTACAGCCTTGCCCAGCGTTTTCCGTCTCTTTCTGAATTCGCAGAGCACCTTGCTGCATCTGTTGACATAGTATTCCCAGTTATTCATGGTCAGTTTGGCGAAGATGGTGGCATACAGGTATAACAAATAATGATCCCCCTTGATAGTATCGCACCAAAGCAGATTATGGCTTATAAGACTATAATTTTTATTTGTGTTGCTGTTTGAATGACTCAGGAATTGCTGGAGAAATACAGTATTCCTTTTGTTGGCACCGGATCAAGTGAGTGTCGTCGTGCATTCGACAAGGTATAGGGAATCTGCAATATCTTTCAAATCTCAGGGCTTCTAATACTGTGATGTGCGGATATGAGGGATATGGGTATCTGTTGAAGCATAAGCAAAATTGTTAACCTACATAGGAAACTTGTTAAGCTGGTTGAGTTCAGAGATTGCATATTCAATGCCAAAGCATTGAGAATTTTTTCGAGGTGTATTATTCTATGTTTCAAGCTTTTTTGACATGTTCTTACAACTTATCCTTTGAATTATTGGCAGTATGAAGCCTCCTTGGAGCTCAGAAAACAAGGGTTTGTTACGGTACCAAACATTTTAGTTCAGGTATTGCTCTAAACTTGCTAAAATTCAGTGTGTCCTTTGCTCCTTCACGATTTAATACTGGTGCTTGAATCTGAATTGGCATTTAGGGAAGTGAACCCAACGAATCTGAAGTAGCTAAATGGTTCATAAGCAACCAGCTGGACACCAAATCAGGGAAAGTAGTGGTAAGGCAGGCTTCACTCATGTTGGCTTAACCAGAGCGGAGCCCATGTTTCAAGGTTGCTAAAGCCCAAACAATTCACATTTTGCAGGTGAAGCCAGTCAGAGCAGGATCAAGCATTGGTGTTACAGTTGCTTATGGCGTTGCCGACGCATTGAAGAAGGCAAAGGATATAAAATTAGAGGTAACCCGAACTTTATCCTGTAATGGCTAAGCATCTTAGAAAGAAACGAGGCATGATGCTCATCTAACACAGTCAAATGCTTGTTGGAATATTTGAAAGGGTATTGATGAGCAAGTCATAGTAGAAATATTTCTCGAAGGAGGAAGTGAATTCACTGCCATTATCCTTGATGTGGGCTCCGGAACTGATTGTCAACCTATTGTTCAAATCCCATCTGAGGTACTAGTCTATTCTTGTGTTTGTCTCATCCAACTTTTTTCCAAACCATAATTGAACGGGGTCGAATCAATGCTTCTTTCATCTGCTGATATTTCCGGTATTTAATCATGAACTATCTACTGAACCTCTTTTTTTGTCAGGTGGAGCTTCATTTTAATGAAGACGATGCAATCTTCAATTACAGAAGGAAGTACCTTCCAACTCGACAGGTTAAGCTGCGATATGTTGAAGCTTTTTCTTGATACAAAATTGTTTGTGGAGCACTCACCCTCATGTCTCTTAGTTATTCCACAGGTAGCTTATCACACTCCCCCTCGTTTTCCCATTGAGGTAACAAGAACTATCCGTGAGGGAGCATCTTGGCTTTTCAGACAACTTGGCCTTCGTGATTTTGCTCGAATTGATGGCTGGTTTTTGCCATCATCCACAAACTCGTTCTTTGGCACAGCAGATGGGAAGTTTGGGAGGTCTGAATTGGGAACAGTATTGTTTACAGACATTAATCTGGTCAGTAGTTTCCCCTAGATTTTTCCACTGACACTGCCATTAGCTCTTTTGGATATGCCAAATTTACGCGTGTTTAATTTTTAGATTAGTGGAATGGAGCAGACAAGCTTCTTATTTCAGCAAGCTTCAAAGGTTGGATTCTCTCATTCGAACATCCTGAGGAGCATCGTTCACCGTGCGTGCTCAAGGTTTCCCAATCTTGAATCATACGTTGATATTTCCAGTCATTTGCCAAGAAGATCAAAATCCAAACTGCTCACCGAAGACTCAGGCCAAAACCAAGGCATTCATAAAGTTTTTGTCATTTTTGGAGGAAATTCATCAGAGCGTCAAGTGTCTGTAATAAGTGGAACAAACGTTTGGCTTAACTTGCAAGGCTTTGATGATGTTAGTTCCAAGAAATGATGGCTATAAATTGTGTACTCTTTGTGCTAGTTGACCAATGTCTAACATTTTTTAGATTTTCTTCTCCACTGCAGCTTGAAGTTATTCCTTGCCTGCTTGCACCCTCAGATGGCCGGTCTTCTAATGCTGGATCACGGACAGTTTGGTCATTGCCGTGAGTAGAGATCTTAAAAGCACTTTGTGTCTTGTTTTGGACAGCTGTTGCTAGTACTATGCATATGAACTTACAACATGCCTATCTTTTTGCTACAGTTATTCTCTTGTCCTGAGACACACTGTAGAGGAAGTTCTTGATGCTTGCACCGAGGCAACTGACCCATCTAGGGCTTCATTAACATCTCAGTTGCGCAAGCAAGTGATGGATGATTTGATGGAAGGACTTGAGAAGCACCGCTGGTTTAATGGGTTTGATATTACTGATGAAAAACCTGTAAAGTTCTCTCTTCAGGATTGGATTAAGCATGCCAAAGAAGTGCAAGCAACGGTATTCCTTACAGGTCCGTGTTTTCTGGTCCATGTATACTGCTTTTGATTGCTTGAAAATGTTCATGAAGCTGGTAATGCACAATTCCTATAGTTCACGGAGACATTGGTGAAGATGGTACACTTCAATCCTTGCTGCAAGCAGAAGGAGTTCCATATACATGTATGCCTTAATGCCCTGGACCAGTGAATGACATTTTTTATGATAGTAAGTAGTTCATTGACATTTCCTTTGGCTACATGAATAAAGGTCCTGGGATATTGGCATCAAAGATTTGTATGGATAAAGTGGCTACATCCTTGGCCGTTAGTCATGTATGGTAACAAAACCAAGTTTTGCAAGTTGTTTTGAAACGCTTCTATGCTTATTCTTGAGTCTCATATGCTCTACAACTTAACAGCTTTCCGATTCTGGAGTTCTCACCATAAACAAAGACGTGAGAACAAAAGAAGAATTACTGAAGATTCCCTCATTGAAGATTTGGAATGAGCTGACCTCAAAGCTTCAGTGTGGAACATTGTGTGTCAAACCAGCAAGAGATGGATGCTCAACTGGCGTGGCAAGAATACGGTGCATTTCTCAACCACCTACCATTGTTTCTATTTTGTTTTCGGTGCTTCAAATAAGCATACGGCGGTAAATTTATTTTCTTCTGCAGTTGTTCTGAGGACCTAGCAGTTTATGTAGCAGCATTGGAAGAATGTCTCCCACGGATTCCACCCAACAGTTTTTCAAAAGTAATATACCGAACAGCTGCAACTTATTTTACTTCCACTTTCACTAATAAGTAATATTTTGCTTACATATGGAACGTTTTAGGCACATGGACCGATTGAAATGCCAAACCCTCCTCCAGAGAAGTTGATCTTTGAGCCATTTATCGAGACGGATGAAATCATCGTCTCTTCCAAGTCCGCAGACGGGCTATTGTGGAAAGGAGAGAGCCGATGGGTGGAAATAACAGTTGGTGTAGTGGGGAAACGTGGTTGCATGCAGTCACTTTCTCCGAGCATTACTGTCAAGGAAGGTGGTGATATTTTATCACTGGAAGAGAAATTTCAGGGTACGGATTTGGTTTGCCGGAGAAGTTTACCGATGAGGACATCAACGGGCCTCGGCTTATATCAATTACCATGTGTTCATTCTGTTGAGGTAGGTTATAACATTATGATTTGTTTCTGTAGGTGGAACCGGCATTAATCTTACTCCTCCACCACCATCGATCGTCAGGTATGTTATTGTTGAAACAGAGTCAAGTTCTTGCGCCAGCTCTCTTTCTGAGCCGTAGCTTTTCATAAACCCTTGTGTGTCTCTGTCTGCTGTTTGCTGTAGTGAGGAGGCACTGGAGAAATGTAAGCAGCGCATTGAGCTGGTAGCAAATACACTGGAGTTGGAGGGGTTTTCCAGAATTGATGCCTTTCTTAATGTTGACAGTGGAGAGGTACCCATTTCTAAACTGTGGAAGAAAAAAAAACAGATGATAAAGGAGCGAACTTTCATGACAGGTTGATTTGAATTTGATTGCAGGTGTTGGTTATAGAGGTGAACACTGTGCCTGGAATGACTCCTTCCACTGTATTGATTCATCAGGTAAATTTATGATGACAAACACCCCAAATTGACAATTTTCTAGGCGTGTATATTTTTCCTCTGTAAAATGCAAAAGCTGCAGAACCCTTGTTGATGCTCTGCTAACATTCAGCGTTGTGCTGTATGATAAACGCATTTGCGTGGCAGGCATTGGCAGAGCAGCCTCCGGTGTACCCTCATCTGTTCTTCCGCAGGTTGCTCGATTTGGCATCTGATAGAACCATTTAGGCTCATTCAAATAGCTTCATGCTGGACTTGGTTGGCCGACAGATGGCAGAAGAGAAGGGACATTCGTGCGTGCCTTCTGTAAGCCTAGTTTGGCGATTTGTTGGATGTTTGTTGTGTTTGGACCATCGTGATTTCCTGCAATAAAGTGTTGTTCATTTATCAAAGCTTTCTTTTTTCCTTACCTCATCAAGACGTGACTATTTTGGAGTTGATTTGATTGGTAGCATTAGCATGCAACAGCAGAAATGTTTAGCTATCAATATATTTTGCCTAAATAACCGGGGAAAAAACAAAGAAGAAGAAGTTGATGAGTGAGCATGGGCTGGGCCGAGATGTATCCGGGCTGTGTCTCTGCTCATCTGTCTAGTATGGGCCTGATTCAGATTAAGAAAAGTCGGACTAGGCTTCTTAGAGAACTGATCCCTAGGTTTGTTTATTTGAGTTGATCTGGCAGGCAGGCACCCAGAAGACAAAAGTCAAAAGGGTAAAAGGCGCAAAAAAAAAAAAGTGAATCCTGCCAAGTAGGGATGGCAATAATATCCGTAACCGTGGATATCCGCCCGAATCCGACCTAATCGGGTAGGGTTAAACCCGAACCCGAAGTCCTTTTAGTGGGTACGGGTAAAACCCGAACCCGAATATTGCGGGTAATGTGTGGGCATGGTTTTCTCACTATCCAACCCGAACCCGCCCGATTATACACATGCATATGTATTTTGCCTAGAAATAATCAATATTTTTATCTTACATATTTTATATTTAGCATATACATATAATAGTTTTATGAAATTGTGTTGTTTTAATTAATTTTCTTCATTCTAGCGAATTATTGTCGTACTTTTTGTCTTACGTAACGTGAAAATACTTGTCAATATTAACATATTGGTTGGAGTTATAAAGAGAAACTATTACCCATGGATAACCGTGGATACCCGAAACCCGAACGGGTATGGGCATGGTTTAAATTTTCTACCCGTTTCTTATGTGGGTATGGGTAAAACCCGAACTACTTTGGGTAGGGTAGCGGATATGCACTATCCGTTCCCGACCCGACCCATTGCCATCCCTACTGCCAAGCAAGAGGCTAAAAAGTAAACTACTGAAAAAATTATCGCAGGCAAAGATCTAGAAGGTGTTAAAATTTGAATGAACTCTAGCTGTAGGCTGTAGGTGACGATACGGTCAGACCCTTCTTCTTCTTCTCGACCCTCCAGCATTGCGAGGAAACAACCCAAGGCAAGCCATAGTCCTGGTCACGCCGCCGCCAGTAGCGACATATATTTTTGACTATTTTTTCTTGGCTATTTTCATAGGTTTGAAAAATACAGAGAGACGAGTTTCGACTTTCGAGAAGAGGAACCGTTGTTCTCCATCCCATCCCTCTCCGCGGGCAGAAGTAATTAATTTGTTTTTTCTTCTTTTGGAAAATAGGAGGGTGGCGTGCTGCTGAATAGCGACACAAGCTCTGCGGCGGCAGCAGCGCAGACGGCAACGGTCAGGTTAGAAGTTTTGAACTCCTGCAGTGCCTGCCACTTGGAGAGGCGAGATCAGCTTGGGGCCAGCCAAATTTGTTGCATTTTGTGTTTCTTGACGCCGACCAAAGTCCCCGCCCCTTCCAAGTGCCAACCAACGACCGCTGTCGCTCCAAGGTACTTGTTTTTTAGCTGCTGGGTTCCATTTTTCTGTACGTCTTTCAAGCTTGGGTTCGGAATTCAGCTTAATGATTCTCTTCCTTGGATCAAATTATGCTTGTTTTGAAGTTCGTTGCTTTCTTGCGTGCTGGACCTAGGATTAGCCAGACCTTCTCAACCCACCTTCTAGGTTTTGCTCGAGGAAGCGCCTGCTCTAATTCTGTGTTGTCCCGTTCAAAATTTTCCTCTCTAGAGAAGCATATCTTGATTTCTGATCTGGTAGCTGTCCAGAATTTTAGGCTTTTTTGCAGAATATTGTCAATAAGTTCGGCCCCCCTGTCTTCACTACAGAGTTCTTTGCAATCTCTGCTTGTTCAGAACAGAATTGACTACTTGTACTTGTACATGGATATTCGGTTGTGCTAGCTTCTACCTGAATTCACTTCTACTGGAAGCCATTTAGATATATTATTTATGTTCACTCTTGAGCTTGCTTTTGATCCCTGAACTTAACACATGTTGCGGTTGCTATTCGGAATACTAGGTCTTTGGATAGCTGATGCTGGTTTCTGAGTCATCATCCAAGTTTGAATTCCCTGCGAAAATGGCAGAGAAGATGACTCATTTCAGCTTCATTTAGTATTCTTGGGCATCACCAAAGGGCAAGCAGAATTCCATCCATCACATAGTCTAACCAGAATCACCTCCTGATCGAAGCTTCTCCACCTGAAATGGTGGCACACGATGATGGAGGAGACTTGTGTGGAATCGAGCAACAACCATCTACAAATGTGGCAGACAATACCTCCAGTAGTGAATTTTCTACTGGTCTCGACATATCAACTTCCAGAAAAACACTTCTCAACGGGGCTGGCACCTCTTCCAGCACAGGAGAAGGCAAACTACGCATATCAAAAGTCGTCCCCAGCAGGCTACAGATACTGAAACTCTCTTCCCCTACTGGGTTAAGCTCTCCATCGGCCAAATTCAAGCAGATCGTCGAGGGAAGAGACGAAATGTCCCGTACAGTACCTTCATCTACCACTCAACGGTTCAGAGAACGCCTCCAGAGAACCCTCTCCAGAAAAATCAACTTGGAATCAATGTGTGCCATGTTCAAGACCTGGATCAAGAGCCCACTCAACATGGTACTCCTCCTATGGATAACATGCGTTGCAGCTTCGGGAGCTTTACTCTTCCTGGTAATGACCGGAATGCTCAACCACGCCATACCGAAGAAATCGCAGCGAGACATCTGGTTCGAGGTCAACAACCAGATCCTCAACGCCTTGTTCACACTCATGTGCCTCTACCAGCACCCGAAACGCTTCTACCACCTCGTCCTCCTCTGCAGATGGAAGCCACCAAAGGACATAACCACCCTCCGAAACGCCTACTGCAAAAACGGTACGTACAAGCCCAACGAATGGGCTCACATGTTGGTCGTCATTTCCTTGCTTCATCTCAACTGCTTTGCCCAGTACGCTCTCTGTGGGCTCAACTTGGGCTATAGAAGATCCGCTAGGCCTGCCATTGGCGTTGCTATCTGTCTCTCAGTCGCTATAGCTGCCCCTGCTATCGCCAGCGTCTACTGCATCCTTAGCCCCCTCGGCAAGGAATACGAGGACCTTGGAATGGACGATGATGTGGAATCTCAGAGTCGAAGATTGTCGTCGTCGGAGAAGAGGTTCTCGTTCGCATCGAGAAGCGAGCTAGCCGACTGTGCAGAGAATGCCCCGAATTGGAAGGGTGGGCTGTTTGACATATGGGACGACATTTCAGTAGCCTACCTATCACTCTTCTGCACATGTTGTGCATTTGGGTGGAACATGGAGAGGCTAGGGTTTGGCAACATGTATGTCCACATCGCGACGTTTATGCTCTTCTGCTCGGCCCCATTTTGGATCTTCAACCTGGCTGCCGTGAACATCGACAACGACACTGCGAGGAGTGCCATGGGGTTGATTGGGGTTGTGCTTTGCTTGTTCGGTTTGCTGTACGGTGGGTTCTGGAGGATTCAGATGAGGAAGCGGTTCAATTTGCCCGCGGCGGACAAGGACGTGTGCTGTGGGAAGCCGGAGGTTGCAGATTGTGCGCAGTGGCTGTGCTGCTGCTGGTGCTCTCTGGCGCAAGAGGTCAGGACTGCTGATTTCTATGACGTGGTGGAGAACAAGTTTTACAGGAAGCAGGGGAATGAACTGCCAGCGATGTCGCCTCTGGGACGTGAAGGTAGGAACCCGTCTCCTGCTCCGAGTAGGCCGACGAGACTGAATTACAGCACGGGGAGGCCGGTGTTTGAGATCCAGCCTCAGTTTTCTGCAGAGGATGATGATGTTATGAAGCCACCTGTTTTGTCGTCGATTCAAAGAGAACAAACGAGTGGTCCAAAGTGAAGGTTGTGTATGTATCTACCATTGTTTGTGTGAGATATTGATATATAACTGCTCAATTGTGGGGTGTTCGGGTTTGGTTTGAGTTTCATATGCATAGCTTCATTAGTTCTGCAAGCATCTTTTCCAACTTTCCAGCTTCCTCCTACGTAAGTTTCTAACATAGACACGTCAATGCCTTCCGATCTAACTCGGTTAACAAAAATAATAGGTCAAACTTGGTTTACAAAAATCACGTCGTCTTATTTACTTGCATCATATTTGTCTGTCTCGTGAAGCTTTTGTTTTACTTTTACACATACTCTATTTCTGCAATCCTCTGTTCTAAACGGCAGGGTTCGTCGAAAGACGGTGGATTTAGTTTGGGCCAATGCTAGGGTGCCGCTATTAAAAGTGCGGCATCTGTGCCGTTGTTTATGATTGGTCCATGTGGCTATAATGTGGCAACTGGGTGAATTAAAACCAGTGTCTCATACCAAACCAAATCAGTCGAAACCCAATCACCCGAACCCTTTTGAGTTTTGATTCCTTCTTATTCATTTAATATTTTCTAGAATTTTTTTCCAGCAAAAAGAAAACAAAAAACAAGAATAGAAGCAACCCTTCGTCTTCCTCGCTCTCTTGCTCCGACGAACTGTCAGCAGCAATTCCGGCAAGCATCTCCTACGCTGATCCATTCTCCAGTTTTTACCATATAGCTTCACTCGTCTCCTTCACCATCTTCCTCCTAAACTTGCATCTTTCACACTTTGAATTCGAAACTCATAGTTAAAGGCTTGTCGTAACTCCTAATGGGACACTTCTGAGGCCTCTCGCAACTAGGATTCGGAACGCCTCATCGGTGATCATCAACAATGGTGCTTCTGGCACCCAGCATAAGGAGCGCGTGTCATGACAACACCAACAGGTCATATGTGATAGAACACTTTGTATTACTGATGTCTCGGGCACGTGTCTGTATCCATTTCGTGAGATTCAATTTTGGAAGGCAAACTGCTGAAAACACTTTTGGTATTGGACCCTCACAATTAAGGCACGAAGTACCATATCAATGAATATGAGAATGAGTATTTGGTCATTATATGGAATAACTTTAGTTTTTCAAATGATTATATTTCTAGGATTTTTTGGTTGGTGAAGTATGTAAATGCTGGTGTAAATTCTTATGCTTGTGGAGTTCTTCCCATGCTTAATTTTGTGTTGAAGAACAACTATGGTTTAGCTTTGTGATTTGTTCTGAAATTTGTTTTTTGTGGTCTGCAGATACATGGCACTTTTTTGGGTTGACAGATAACTATGATGATTTAGCTTTGGGAAGTTGAATAGTTTTGTGCTTATGAAACATAAGATGTTTCAACTGTATAAAACAGCTCTGCAGGGTACTGAACTAGTTAACTTGATGTCCATGGAACTTGTAGGTGTAGGCTGGCTGACTCTGTGAGTCTGTGTTATATGCAATTTAGATACACTAAATTTTAACCGTGCTCCATTGCGGGTGTCTATATCAAAGATGCAAGAGCTAAATTATGAAGAACAAGGGAAAAGTAACTCGTTTTTTCATGAATAAATAGTGCTTTATTAAAGAGGGCAGCAACTACTGCAATAATACAACAGAAGAAACATGAAATGGGACATAGGCTATACAAGGCATGAACACTTAGCCTAGAAGGAATCAACCAACTTGTAGCATGCAAATAGCCAAGTGCCCAAAAAGATCATAGGGAAAGATCATAGGGGTACATCGTCAAAACACCAGTACCATCCCCCAAATCCCAATTACAATTTAAGATATCCACCAAAATTCACCCAACCAGCCATAAAACATAAACGCACTGACCAGCCAAAACTGTAAGCCATACCTGGTTTTGCCAATGAAGAACGAGCAATACGTCTCAATACACTAATAATTATTACGTTGACAAACTCGCTATTTCTCAATTTTCAAGATCGGTCTCATGTTAGAAACAAAGTTTCTAATGGGTTTCTAGATCAGATCTAGAGATTGGGAATTTAGGGTTTATAGAATAGAATTGGGGATTTAGGGATTTGAGGAGAATTTGGGGAAGAATAGAAGAGAATCGGCCTAAACCTTTAGAGGGATTGAGGTCAAGAATTGAGAGGATTGGGATAGGAATTTAGGGAGATAATTCTTTATTAACTTCTGCTTAATATAACGAATGACCCAAAGTACATATATATAGGGAACTACGGGAAAACCCTAATGATAAACCTAATTCGACTAAAAGACTACTAACCATAATAATAATTACTCTAATAATAATTATAATAATAAAGTTAGAAACCCCAAAGGAATCGGTTTCTAACATCTCATGTGTCCCTCCTTGCAAGATTTCCCCATCGATTTTCAAACTCGCCATCTATGGTCAATTTTGAATCCTCCTCCTTAGTCACATACACGGGCCTCATTATGGATAGCAGACAATCACGAAGTCAAAGGTAGAAGAAAGGAGCGGATACAAGGAATCATATGGCCATATAGCTGAATTGCGAGACAACGACAACATAAACTAAAGAGATAAATACAAACCAAGCTAATCGTTATCAATTACTATTTCATGGAGATAAATCCTTCCCTACCACCCACTCAATTAGTAATGAAGGCCAGAGCAAACACCGTAGAGCAGTAGCGAAGGATAAATGAAAAAACTAAATTACCTGAACGGAGAAGCAGCCACGAGACCTTCTCGAAAAAGAGAGATACGCTGGAGCTGAACCGAGGGGGAGGAGGAGGTGTTGTCGATGCGGAATGCCAGTCTTCAAATAAAAAGCGGCAGAGCTCTGGAACAACAGGGCGCGATTGGAGGAAGAACAATTATGGACTGCATGGGAGACACAGGGTAACAACGGCAGAGTCGTTCTTCAATTCCTATCACTCAATTTTAACTCTTGGTTTTGGTGCTTTAGAGAGGAATGACAGAGTGAGGGCGCGACGGAGAGGGAGCAAATAAGATGTCGTCGGAAAACAGTCTGGCTGGCAAAAGAGGATGAAGAGAAAAGATACCCTTGTCAGTTGGGTGGTTGCAAGGCTTAGTTGGTTGATAGGCTACTGGTTTGAGCGAAACCCAATTCCGCCACATGGTCCAATCATAAACAGCGACACCGGTGCCGTACTTTTAATAGCGGCACAATAGTATTGGCCTTTAGTTTGAAGTATGTGGGCTTGGAAGACTTGAACTGGTTTGGAGTTGTAAGTAACATTATGGACATAGTATAAGTGAAGCCCAAAGACTTGACCAGAAGGAAAAGGCCAATACTAAGGTGCCAGAGTAAAAAATGCGACACCGGTGACACTGAATATGATTGGGTCACATTAAAGTGCTGTGGCGGGCTTGGTTTATTTATTTCGAACCCATGACCCTTCACAATTCAGAATTGTCCAAACCAAAATCCTATCCAGCAGACGGAATTACTTATGTTTCCCACCGCCGTTTTCTATTTGATTTCCTTTTCATTAATTAATTTTAAATTGATTTAATTTTAACTGCATTTTAGTTTTATCATGTAACAAAAAAATGAACGGAAAGAAAATCCGAGGAGCGTCTTTGTCGAGCTCTCAGTCCAAACTGCTCCGGCGAGAATTCTGTGAGAATACCAAACTGCTCTAGCGAACTCCACCTTCTCTGGTCAGGACTCCATACCCTCCACTAAACTCCTTCATCGTATTCCCCCTCCTCCATTCATCGCGTGCAAAAAAACAACGAATCCCTAGTAGCGGGAGGCCCTCTGTCTCTGTCGAAGTGGTCTGCGTTGTCCCCCCGCTCTGCACCCTTCCTGTTGACGAAGCGGAATTCGAAGTTCTATGTTGCCTAGAGACATTGCCTAACAAATCCGAAGGATTCTAGTAATTCAATTGGTTTGTTTTTTGAGAAACTAGGACAATAATTAGTCTCTTTTAGGTCCCGGATTAGGTCTAGCTTCTATTTGCCTATGAGCTGCTATGTTAGGGATGTTGGAACTGGTTGTTCCGTCCCTGTTCTACTTCTTTGTTTTTTCTATTTTGGTTGGTTCATAAACAGTAGCATAGCCTAGTTAAGTCAACCGAGTGGGAGGATGATTGCTCTGTCCCTGTTCGGCTTCTTTGTTGTTTCTTTTTTGGTTGATATAAAGCATTAATAGAGCCTAGCTATGCCAGCCGAGTGAGAACGCCACCATCAATTCATTATATTTTATCAAACAACTATTGATAACATATCTTATTATGACAGAGGCATACTCTAAACAAATTTCACGAGGCCTTCCATTCCCCTGCTAATAATGTGTTTTGCTAGAATCCTTGTTGAAATTGGCCCTTTAACCTTTGAAATCTTTCATAGGTTCAAGAAATCATCATATTAAGTAACATTTGTCGTCAAACATATCCTTCACAGCCTGATATAAGCCAGTGCATTATTTGTTGTAAGCTTATGGACTGCACCTCCTCCTGCCGCTCCTACTCCTCCAATCATCTGTGGCTACCGAATACTTGGATGCACAAAAGTTTATACAAAATACAAGTAATTGAATGCCAACGTCAAATTGCATTCTAAGAACATCAGCTCGTGGATACAGCAAGTGGGCAAGATGGTTTTTAATATGTTAAGTTACCAATTTTGGTTTGCTGTCAACTTTGGTCTACTTGCAACTCAATCAGCTGGAATGCATCACCATCATGATTTCTTAATAGACAATAAGCCTGCACCAAATCCAGACATGACATTATGTAAATTTCTAGCAGACCGACCGTGTCGTTACAGATTTTGTGTGATAAAGAGGGTTGTGGAAATGTTGTTCCCTATATGTGGGAATGGGGGCAAGATCCGGGCAATGGAGCAAGTAATGTGATGAGATCTGTATCATAATAATCATGTCAATCCCACCTGTGTGATATATATGGCTTTATAGAAGTAAAACCACGTTGGTTGTAGTGGAAGGTGATGTGGCAACAAATCTTTCGTTTTTAGTATTGTGTTGTTGTTGACATCAATCTATATATGCAATTCACCCCACAATGCCCGATTATTCCAACACGACTATCTCTCAATGCCATTGCTTTTAACTTGTTCATATAAAGGTTAATGCATATCTTATGCTTCTATATTCCAAGTTAATCATATATTTGAAGTTTGAGCGGGATCGCAGAATAAGATCAACAATGCACAAGTCTGAAAACAGAAGTTGTGTAGCATATAAGCAAAGATGAAACAAGACTAGTGCAGAACTTTGTTTGACAGCAAAAAACGAATCCAGAACTACATTTCCAAACAAAAAGGAGAACTCTTCCACGATACCCTAGTACAATTACCCCTGCCTATGCAGAAAGCAAACCTTTAGAACAACGATACCATCACTTTCATAGTATTCTTTTCAAAGGTGTCCCATGTTAGGGTGACATAAATTGCCAGACTTCATATCTTTGGAACCATAAGCTGCAACACTCTGCCAAGGGAAACACCACACAAACTCTTGACTACCTGGTCTAACCTGAAAATGATAACAAACTTAATTCACTCGGCATGCAACTATAAAACAGTACATTCTAAGTTCAAGTATACAGATCGTACAAATATACCAGTATATCTATACATTCAGTTTGATCTCCATGCTATTTAAATTGCAACACAGTCGACACAACAATGCTTTCTTACTGAAGAGCAAACAAGACCTCGAACAACTGGTTTTCCTTAAGTCCCATGAGTGAGCTGCAGAATCACTACCAATTCCTGAGAGGATAATGGGTCGTTGTTGGCATATTAAGTCCCGCGCAAATATAGTTCTTGTAGAACCTCCAGCCTACAAGAGAGAACAATGAGAGAAAGGAGCAGGACGGATAACAACAAGGGCACACCTTCGACTAACCAATGAACGAGAAATTACTATTCACATGTGTAGGATACTTTGATGTACCAATTTATCAGACAGTGTTGTTCTTCCATAACTCAACAGCTTCAGGAACTCTAAAAATGTCTTACTAGATCAAACTAAGTTATCAATGATACATGGCCCTAAACCAGCATGTCTGCAAGGACTTAAGACAACTGTGAATGTCAATATGTTTGGTCTAATTCCCTCTTCTTTCATTGTGGAGAAGAAGTTGAGAGCATCAGCTACATGACTACGGAAAGCCAGAACCGAAAAATGATTGAAGTCCAAGGCACAACAGTTTTTGCTGACAACTTTTCAGAAACATCCTCTGCCAGTTTAATGATCCCACATTTTGCATACATGTCAATCACGACATTTGAGACCAAAACATTGTTCTCCAACTCTTTATTCTTGACTATCTTATGTAAGCATTTCTAGTACTCAATGCTCCCAAACTAGCTTATGCAAGCCTGCCTATGTTATTATGCTCATATGTTGAGTTTGCCTAGAACAATCAGCTTGAACCTCCATCATTTTACACTTTTACTCATTGCATATTTGCATTGTATAGACTATAGACTCAACATTTTGTTTTTTCTTTCTTCTGAGCTACTTCCTCCATCTCGTTCTACATGTCCAGTACCTCCTCCGTCTCTTTCACTCGACCTCTGGAAGCTGATAAAAAATCTGGAACCCAAATGCAGCATGAAGCAACGGCCGAAACCAACATTCGAATTCTAGAAATTCAAGTAAACCCAAAAGGCCAAAACTCAAAATTGATCCGGAGACTGAAGCCACAGTTGTAGATCTTAAATCAAGCAATTTCGAGTCGAGATTGAAACCCAATAATTCAAACAACGATAGTGACCAAGTATCCTCGAACTTGGAAGAACTAACTCCAAATGCTGGTTTTCCCCGAGCAAGAGAGTGGTCTCGTCGAGGAAGAAAATTGATGGAGAATCAAAGGCGGTTGTGGTTTGGGGGGGGTATCTGATGGTGGTAGTTGCCAATTTTAGGGTGTGGGTGCATGAATGAGAGCGGGAAAGGAGCAGATAAATGATCACTTCGAGGCTACCTGACAATTGATCATCGACGACATATCTTGGTGATGAACTGATGATCGAACGGGCGAGGAAGGAAACAAAATGTTGGACGGAGAGCAAAACTAAGCAGCTCAATCGAAATTTCATTTAATAAATGACAAAGAATCAAGCGTTGGACGACGAAGGGGTTCTCCGTTAATGTGGGAGAGGTGGTTTGAGTCACTTCAAATCAGACACCAAAATTGGGTTGGATTTAATAATCCAATCAGTACCACATCAATCCACGTGGACGAATTAAAAACTGCGTCACCGGTACCGCACTTTATATAGCGGCACGATAGTATTGACCGAAGGAAAATCAACTTGAAATTCTTTCTACTTTCCTTGTCTTCTTCGCTGAGCTGCTCTGTATCCAATATTCCAATTTAGCTCAACTTAAGTAACAAACTTGGGTTAGGTTACTAGAGTCTTCCAATTAATAATTGGAATTTTACTTAACCACAATTTAAAAATGCCAAAAGCTAAACTGGGGCAAAGCCCAGCGAAAGGCGGATTCTTTCCGCTTAGCTGGTTGAATACCAACCGCCACGGGAAGAATCCACTCGTCTCCGACCTTCATATAATCACTCACACTTCATGAAAATGAACAGAGCAAGCACATTTCACCGATTACACATTAACTGGCAGCGAAGAAAAAGATGAAAACAGGCAACCCAAATATGAAAATAATAAAAAAATACGTACATTTAATTATGAGTTCAAAAACAAGGAAATTAAATTAATCTAAAACACATGGAGCAGCCAGCCGCCAAATTTATGATCAGATGGCGAGAACAAGGCCAGGCAGAGACCGCTTGTAAAGATCAGCCGGCCGGCTCCTCCACAGCGTGAGCTTCTCCCTCTCCGGCGACGGCGTACGCCGATGTCCATGACCGGCGCTCACCGGTGGCCGACCGGTGACGTCCTTGACGGTGAGCCACGTGTTGAAATACTCCCTGAACTGAGTGATGACGACCAGGCCATGATCCTCCCTCAGCGTCCACACGTGCACCCAGTACACCTCGCCTTCCCATCCTTCCGCGATCACGCAGTCCCCGATCGCCTCGACGCTACGTGGCTCGAACCGGAAATTCGTAGACGAGGATTGGTCCGACGTGGCCGCCAGCTGCCCCGTCAGCATGCGCATCATGTAGTCGCAACCTGGCGGGCCGTGGAACCACCACTCCAGGTCGCTGGCGATGACCTGCTGGCAATCCTCGGGCAGAAACGACGCCGCATGGGCTAGGGCCTTGTAGAGCGACCTGACTATGGATTTGGTCCGGGCGGCTCTGGCTTGGCATGATTCCGCCGGGTCGTGTCCCAGCAACGACGACGACTCGGCGGCGGCGGCGGCCTGCTGCTTGTTGTTTTCGTCGGAGGTGAAGAGGATTCTCCGGGAGCTTAGTTTGGAGAAGATGGAGGAGAGGGAAGACCCGAATGCTTTGAAAGAGATTGATGTTTCTCTTGGGAAGTACATTTCTTTCCTTTTTCTTGGGCGAGAGAATGAATATATTTCTATCTCTTCTTAATCTCTCTAATTAACTCTTTTTTTCTTCTTCTGAATGTTACTACGGCAGCATGAACATCTATATATAAGCCCGAGAAGGCAGGAGAGAGGAGTGATGCCAGCTCAACCCGCGGGTCGATCTGGAGCTCGTCGAGCTAGTGGGTCAAGAGTTAATATATCACCCGTTTTAATCCTATTTAATGCGGTTTAGCTCAGAAATATGAAAAAAATAATTATATTATACTTATCTTGAATCCAACATAGAAAAAATACAACACTACTTAAACTCTAACACACTTAAAGAACATCAACTTAAATTCAACATAATAAAAATTCAACGACACTTAGGAACGAGAGCTCCCTGACCAGCTCGGATGGGCCAACCACTCGAGTTTTTCCGGGTTTGACCATATTTTTCCGAGTTTGACCATTTTCGGACTAACCCACAAATGGACTGTTCTAACCCGTTTTCAGGAACGGGTCCGGACTAAACCGGGTCGATCCACGAGTTGACAACCTTACTAGCGAGGTAGTATAAAGGATTAATAGCTGGGAGTGGCCCCCCAGATTACAGGGACGTTTTTTTGGATGGGAATTTTGGCTCAGGAAATAGGACTAATGACAAATCCAAACTTTGTTTTTTGTACGAGGGTGTAACGCGGGAGGAATGTTACATGTTACAAAATTGGAAATTAAGATCAATGAGTTGGAATTTTGAACTTTTTTAATTAGACTAAATTCGGCTGATTAACTCAAATAATTAATCTTTATGGGTCTTTCAGTCTTGCGGGGATATTTTTCTAATACTAAGATGATTCCAATGATCGGCTGTCGTATTTATATGGCAGCATACTACTACTGCTGCAGATCCATTGTAAAAAAAAGAAAAGAAATTGAATTGTAGTTGGTAATGTAGTGAAAGCAGTTTACGCGCGTTTGTTACTGAGAACAAACTAAAGTTCATGCCAAAGACCCTATAGTCAAGTCAACTACTACGTGACGTGAGTGTCTACTGGCCGGGTAAACGCGGTTTCCTTACCGACGGGGAGACCGGCCCGTAGAATTCCGGCCGGGGGCTCGGCTTCTGTTCGATGTGCTTTGGCGTCGTGCGTGTCGATTTTCATGTTATTTTGGACGCCACATTAGACACTACTCTTTCTGACATTCAACTTTTTTTCAACCATTCAAATTATTGAGACCTATTAGCAATGACAGATACATGTAGGTTTAAGGGTGTTACCCTTAAAATTTAGAAAAATGATTATTCAACTTCTGATAGTAGTTTGTGTATGGGTTAAAAAAATATTTTAAGTGATAGCGAGACACCCTTAAAATTTGGAAAAAATGATTATCCAACCTCCGATAGTAGTTTGTGTATGGGCACAAATACTATTCAAGTGACAGTCTATGTGATTTGAACTTGGGACACTACTACTAAACATACTTTCAATTAGACTAAACCTCATTTGTTGTTGTGTTTTAGATCCAAATATAGCAGTAAAATGTTATTCCTTTCCCCAATTATTTTCAAAACCTAATGATTTAACCCAAATACTTGCTACCTTTGTCTAGTAGGATATGTCGAGAGAGGTTTATTGAGCAGTGTAGACACCAAATGTATTTTACCATTTTTCATTATACGAAACACGTATTAACTTTCATTGTAACTTTTACTAGTTGTATATTTACATATTTAATAATTATTTCATTTAATTTCTAATTAAAATTATTTTTTGAGAAAGGACACCCCTGTGTACAATTTTTGAATCTGCCACTGCCTGTTGGTCCTTGATATGATATCAGCTGTGATCGAGAGTTCTTCCTTTCAAATCTCGACAACTCCCATTTGTTAAGCATATGATATCCGGACATGTGCTAACTTGAAGCCCAGGCACGTTGGCTTTGGTTTGAGGGAGCATGTAAATATGGAGTATAAGATCTATTATTGAACATCTTCTAACAACTCGAGTTATTGGAACCAACTAGTTATTGACAGTTTCTAGGAACAAATAGCGATACATCATTTCAATTGCTCGCTCTATAATGATATTGCTTGTCGTTGTATATGATTTGGTTGCAGAAAATAATCTTCAATCAAGACAACCTCAATGTAATCATTGAAGACGTTTTCAAAGAACTATAGAAGAAACATAAGAAACGTCTAGAAGATTATGACGTGGTTGAGCAAAGATTACTCACCTTTGAATCGAGACGTAAATAATAGGCCGAACTTGGTTAACGAAAATTTATGCGTTCTTTCAAATATGTACTCCATTATCTATCTTGGCATGTGTTTGTCTTGCAGGTACTCTAATTATGGAATCTCTCTGTTCTGGTTGATAGCTTTGATCAAGCTGGAAAGTCACTTAGAGGTAGTTTGAAGACAATGGGCCTTCCTAAGTCAAAGTAGCAACTTGGCCTCTAATTGACGCTGACCCAAATCTAAACTTAAGCCCAAAGATAAAGAATTAAGGAGAATGGAACTCGAAACATCTTCGTTTTATTGTCTTCTCATCTCCTCACTGCAATCCTTCATATTCTCTGTATTCAACTGATGTGAAACTTTGTGCCTTGTGTTCAACAATCTTGGGTGGTCATATTCTGACGGGTCCTCACTGAGCACTATTGGCGATGGTCGATCCTGGGTCTCTCTTTTCGGTGAAGTAGAGGACAACAAACTAGATTACTTTGAACCTGAGTTGGTCAATGGTTTGTTGCGCATCCCTAAATCTGTAATGGAGGAGGGGGTGAAGCAGCTTGAGCACAGTCTAGTTGGTCGATTTCTGCCTGCACCGCCATCAATTGCTTCGATTCGTTCCTAGGCAAACTGGCTTTGGGGTCGCGATGGAGAGATCAGAGTTTCTGAGTTTGAGGATTTCCTCTTTCTTTTTCAGTTCCCATCGGAGGTTGTGTCGCATTGGGTTTTTGAGGGGGGTCCATGGCACTATCGCAACAATATGATTTGCTTGCGTAAATGGGTTCCAGGGATTCAGGATATCACAATTGACAACTCGGCAGTTCCTATTTGGATTAAGCTTTCCAGTTTTGCCAGCGGAATTATCTTCGAAGGAAGGGCTAGGTTGGATAGCAAGTTTGATTGGGGCCGCGCTCTGTATGGATCAACCAACGAGATTCAGGCACCGTGTGGGAGCTGCAAAGATATGTATCGAAATTGGCACAAAAAATCCATGGATTGATCAAATTAGTATCACCCCTGATGGTATGGAGGAGTTGTTCGTCCAGATAGAATACTGTCATCTTCCACCTATCTGTCAATCTTGTTGTGTATTTGGGCATGATTGTGCTGCTCCCTATGGTGAGAATGTTAAGAAGGTTTGGCGAAAGAAATTGATTACCGCTGTTGATATGGCCAGTTCCTCAAAGTATGTAGATTAGGAGGGTTCAGTTGGCTTGACTATTGAACCAGTGATTGAATCTCCTCCAATCACTCCTAGTGCTTTGCCATCTCAGGAGGATTTTAGTTTGGTTGTCAATGGCGTGAAACCTTCTGTCCCGGTGATATCTGCTCCAGTAACTTTGACAAATTCCTTTGCAGCAATATGTGCAAAGAATATCCAGTTGCAGAATCATCCGCCACTTCGCCGTGAAGGGTTACGTAGTCAGAAAGGGTTTCAAAAGGCCCCTCTTTGCAACTATGAATGTTTTAGTATGGAATACGAGAGGCTTTAATAGCCCCTCGAAGCACGATTATGTGCTAGAGTATATACATAAGTATAAGGTTCAAGTGTTGGCACTGCTGGAAACTAGAGTTAAGAAGAGCAATGCTAAGAAGATACAAGATAAGTTTATTTTATTTTATTATTAATGATAACTATAATGCTCATGCCCTTGGTATAATTTGGATTGCCAGGCAAAAAGATGCGAAGTCGAGGGTTCTCCATTGTGACACATATGTTGGTTTCCATCTTGGCAACAGAGCGGTTTTTCTTTACTGCGGGTTATGGCTTTAATGATGAGACTGAACGAATGAGTACTTATGCCCGAACGAGGAAATGACAGGTGAATGGGTTTTCATGGATAGTTTGTGGTGATTTTAATGCTATCTTAAGTCCATTGGAGTCTTCGAACAGTGTGTCAATTTTGCCTAGTATGCATAATCTCTGTTCTTGGATGGATTTGATGGAGTTAATTGATCTCCAATATACATGTCCTTTATTTACTTGGTATAACCAGCAACAAGCCCGCCCTATTGCTAAGAAAATGGATCGTATGTTGGTGAATGATGAATGGCTGAGTTCTCTTCCGGATTAAGTGGTGGAATTCCTAGCACCCTCTTTCTCTGACCATTGTGGTATTCTCATTCGTCCTATAGAGCAAAGGAAGTTTTTTCCCAAACCCTTCCGGTTTAATGAGATCTAAATGCAATATGAGACATATAATGACTTGTTGACTATGATTTGCAGTCATCCAGGCCAAGGATATATCCTCCAGCATGTTCTTAACAGATTGAAGAAGCTGAAAACAGAACTAAAGCCCCTCAACCATGAGGAATTCTCGGATATATCAGATCGTGTGAAGGAGTCTGATCAGACTATGAAAGAAAAGCAAGTAAATGCGTTGCAAAATCCTTTTGAGGAGTCTTTTGAAGCTATAAAACAAGCTATAGCTCTTTACCAGAATTACAAGTGTGTTGAAGAAAGCTTTTTACCACCAAAAATCTCGAATCAATTGGTTAACTCTGGGAGATTTGAATTCTTCATTTTTTCATAGAAGTGTCAAGGTGAGAAGTTCAAGAAAGCAAATCGAACGACTTGTTCTGGATTCGGGGGAAGTAATGGCTGATGTTAGAGCAGATTGCACAAGAATCTGTTTCTTTCTATCAAGCACTCTATGGAACGAAAAATGAGGAGATTTCAGCGACATTGAATTTAGTCTTACCTTTTGTTTGATTTCATCTTTCAGAAACTGATCGTCTCTCTCTTTGTCTAGAAGTTTCTGATAGTGAAATC